GGGATGCAGGAGGGGAATTGCACCCAGATTGGGATGCAGGAGGGGAAATGCACCCAGGCCGGGATGCAGGAGGAGAAACGCAATTAGGTCGGGGCGCAGCGAGGGGAAATGCCCCCGTATCCCTCCACGGGTACAGGCGGTGAATCGCAACGGGGCCGGGATGCGGGGGAGTGGAAATACACGGGGATCGCGGAGCACCGAGCAGGGAGGCAGGCGGCCGGCCGGGGGTGCGGGGGCCCGGTCCGGACGCGGGGTCGGGGGGTCGGTGCCGTGCGGGGCCCGCGCCGTGCCCCCCACCTCACTCACCGCGGGCCGTCCCGCAGCAGCCGCAGAGCCAGAGCCAGAGCCAGGGCCAGAGCCAGGGCAGCATGGCTGCGCCGCGCCCCGCCCACCGCCCCGCCCCGCGCCCGCCATTGGCGGAGCCCCCCGCTCGCCTCGTTTTTATTGGTCCACACGGCCATCAATCAACCGCGAGCCGGCGCGGGCAGCGCGCTGTCACCTCGGCGCGCGCTGCTAAATAGTGAGCCTTCCCGGCTTTGCAACGCCGCGCTCCCGCTCCTCCCCGCTGCCAAATAGTCATCCAAAGGCCCCGCCCCCGGGAAGGTTCTGGGCGTGCGCGGTGCATTGTGGGGCGGGGGCAGCGCAGCGGCCGCCGCGATGATGGTGAGTGAGCGTCCCGCGCCATCCAGCGCCATCCAGCGCGATCCGCGGGCATTCCCGCCGGGAACAACCCGCGGGGCCCCCGCTGCCCTCCGGGGAACGCGTCCCCAGCGGCTGCGGCGCGATGGGGCGCGGCGATGGGGCCGCCCCGCCGCGCAGGCCTGCGGTACCCGGGATGGGATGGGGCGCTTCCCGCCGGATCCGGAGCTGTCCTGGCGGGGCTGATCCCGCAGCTCCGTCCCGCACCCTCCCCTTCGGCCCCGAGTCCCTTCGGTTTTTGTGCCTCTACCTTCGTTTCCCCCGGGGATAAGCAGTTCTTTTTTTCCATTGAGATCGCTGCTCGGGCGGGTGTGGAAGAGCTCCGTGCGTTTCCGTCCACAAAGCTTTCCCGGGATTTAGGGATTGCAGAATAGGGTTGAAAGGGATTTCTGGAGATCCCCCAGTCCAACCCCACTGCCCAGGCAGGGTTACCTGGAGCAGGTGACACAGGAACTCATCCACGTAGGTTTGGGATGTCTCCAGAGCGGGAGACTCCACGCCCTCCCTGGGCAGCTATTCCGGGGCTCTGCCACCTCCATGGAAAGTTCTTCCTCATATTAAGGTGGAACTTGATGTGTTTTATTTTGTGTCCTGTTGCTGGGCACCACCAGAACGAGTCTGGGACCATCCTCTGACACACCTTGGAGATATTTAGATGGGATAATGAGGTCCCGTTTCAGCCTTCTCTAGACTAACCAGGTCCAGCTCCCAGTCTCTCCTCATCAGAGAGATGCTCCAGACCCTCTTAAGGGACCATTAAATCCCTTCAGATCTATCTTAAGGACCCTTTCCAGTAGCTCCTTTTGTCACAGCCATGCTTTAATTTTCCTCTCTATTCCAAACCAGTGCCTCCCAAATTTTGGCTCTGTTCAGTCTTTGTCTGGGCTCTGTCTGTGAGACAGTTGCATCGCTCATGGAATAGTTTGGATTGGAAGGGACCTTCAAGACCATTTATTTCCACCCCCTGCCATGGGCAGGGACACCTTCCACTACACCAGGTTGCTCTAACCTGGCCTTGGACACTTCCAGGGATCCAGGGGCAGCCACAGCTTCTCTGGGCAACCTGTGCCAGGGCCTCCCCACCCTCACAGCCAGGAATTCCTTCCCAATATCCCATCTAACCCTGCCCTCTGGCAATGGGAGGCCATTCCACCTTGTCCTGTCCCCTCCATCCCTTGTCCCCAGTCCCTCTCCAGCTCTCCTGGAGCCCCTTTAGGCCCCTGCAAGGGGCTCCCAGTTCTCCCTGGAGCTTTTCTTCTCCAGGTGAACACCCTTCCACCACCCAAATTTGTTCAGTTCCTTGCTGTCTCAGTAATAATTCCATGTTCTGTCTTCTCCAACTCCAGCATCGAATCAGAACCTCACTGAGCAAAACACCACCAAAACCCCCCCTCCCCCTTATTTTTGGGTCAGTTACTCTACAGTCCCAGAGTGGAAGCAGTTGGGTGAATTCCCAACACAGTGGGAAGTGGAAAGCAGAGGAACTCTGAGGAGTCTGTAGGGTTTGCTCTTGGTCCTGGATGAGCCGTGGGCTGTGTGAGGAGTTTGCTCCGGGTCGTTGGGATGGGAATGACGGCTCTGCCTTGGGTTCTCTCCTCAGCCAACTCCGGTTATCCTGCTGAAGGAGGGCACGGACACCTCCCAGGGAATCCCCCAGCTGGTCAGCAACATCAATGCCTGCCAGGTGATCGCCGAGGCCGTGCGCACCACGCTGGGCCCGCGGGGCATGGACAAGCTCATCGTGGATGACCGGGGTAAGGATGTGGGAAAGGGATCTGGGAATCACCTCCCAGAGCAGCCTGTTTGCTCATATCCTCTTATCAATTAATCCCAGCATTTGCATATCTGAAAGTTTCAGCTTCTTGACCTCGTACTAAACTTGACTCTCCCAGCAGAGGTTCAGTTTCTGTCTCGGTGTCATTTTAACACCGTGACTTTTGCTGTGGAATAAAGGATAATTGTCAGACTAACCTGAGGAATTCCCTGTTTGCTGCATGCAAAGCTGGGACTCTGGAGAAGGGAAGGCTCCAGGGAGACCTTCCAGCACAGTTCCAGACCTTCCATCGCTATCCCAGATGTTCAGAATTGTCTTTATGTTGCTCAAAGCTCAGCTTCTGATGCTCCAAGGAGCTGGAGCCCCTCTGCTCTGGAGCCAGGCTGGGAGAGCTGGGGGGGTTCCCCTGGAGAAGAGAAGGCTCCAGGGAGAGCTGAGAGCCCCTTGCAGGGCCTGAAGGGGCTCCAGGAGAGCTGGAGAGGGACTGGGGACAAAGGATGGAGGGACAGGACAACAGGGAATGGCTTCCCAGTGCCAGAGGCAGGGTTAGATGGGATACTGGGAAGGAATTCCTGGCTGGGAGGATGGGGAGGCCCTGTCCCAGGTTGAGCAGAGAAGCTGTGACTGCCTCTGGATCCCTGGAAGTGTCCAAGGCCAGGTTGGATAGGGCTTGGAGCAACCTGGGCTAGTGAAAGGTGTCCTGGACCATGGCGGGGGGTTGGAACTGGATGGTCTTTAATGTCCCTTCCAAACCAAACCATTCCATGATTCTGGAGCCCCTCTGCTCTGGAGCCAGGCTGGGAGAGCTGGGGG